CCCCCCCCGGCTCCCCCCTCCTGTCAGGGATTTGCAGAGCCAGAAGGTCCCCCCTGAGCCTCCTTTGCTCCAGGATGAGTCCCCCCAGCTCCCTCAGCTGCCCCTCATGCAGTGTAAATCCGTGCAGTGCTGAAGGGGTGGTGCCAGGGCTGTTTGACTCCCAGCTGTGCCCTTTTCCAGTCCCTGGTGCTCGTGTCCCGCCTGCCCTACGTGAACCTCTTCCAGTCCCTGCTCCAGCTCATTGCTCCCGAGTACTTCGACAAGCTGGAGCCGTGCCTGGAGGCAGGTGAGCAGGGGGGGCTGGGAGGGAGGGTCTGCAGCCTGAAATCCTACAGGGGTTTGATCAGGAGGTTCCGGAAAGATGATTGAAATGTTCCAGCTTGGTTCGTTCTGTAACAAATTCCAGCAGGGAAGAACTTTTCACCCGCTTGTCCAAATGACAACCGGCTGTAAAGGAGGCATGGATGGGAAGGGGAGGGATGGGGCTGTCAGTGTGTTCCCAGAGACAGGAAGAACTGCTGCTGCTGCATCTCTGGCAGGTCTTTATTGCCTTGTTCAGCTTAATCCTGGTTTGTTAACACCGTGGTGCTGCTGTGGGGATGAGGGGGCTTTGCCGTGAGTCAGGGGGACATGTGGGCTGGGAACAGGCAGTGATGCAGTGCCAGAACTCCCAGGAGCAGCAGGATGAGCTGGATCTTCCTCCAGGTGACACCTTTCCCTTGTCCTGTGTCCCTCAGTGTGCAACGAGATCGACCAGTGGCCTCCTCCTGTGCCAGGACAGACCCTGAACCTGCCCGTGATGGGAGTTGTCATCCAGGTACCTGTGGCAGGGTGGGGAGGGGAATCTGTGTTCCTTCATTGTGGTTGGTAAAATAGCTGTTCACCCCAGATGCTTCCCCTTTGGTCCCAACCTTTTTGGTCCCCACCACTGGAGTTGGGGATGAGGAAGTTTTCTCTCGTGGGGGGTTGTAGGGAAGGGAAGTGTGTGATGCTGATCCCATCTCCAGGGGTGACCTCTGCTCTTGTGTGTGATCCAGGTGAGGATCCCATCCAGGGTGGATAAACCAGGATCAAGCCCAGTGAAGCAGTTCAATCAAGAGGTGAGTTAAGCTTGGCCCAGGCCAGTGGTGAGCAGAGCCTGGACCACTGAGGGAGGAGGGTGGGAAGAGCTGGAGCTCTTAAATCCTGTTTGAAAAGCCTGGGATCAGTGTGGACTCAGTCACACACTTGGTTAAACTTCAGGCTCTCATGGCTGGGAGTCAAACAGGGCTCTCAGCACAGAGTCTGTGTGCTCTGAGTTGTTGTTCCCCTTGCTTTTCCTGGGAATTCAGGCCCAAGGAGGTCTCCTGCCTTCATCTTCTGAGCTGTGGTGCAACCTTGTTCTCTGAGCAGCTTCACTGCTTTGGTTCAGCTTTGATTTCAGTTCTTGTCGTGTCATTGTTCCCCTTTTCTCTCCTTTGGCTGATGTTGGTTTGGGGCCCACATTTCTAACCCTTACTGGCTCTGTGTCCCAAGCTCTGTCTTTCCCTAGAGGAGACTCTGGAAAACAAAGGAGCAGACCTGGGCAGCCTTTCACATCTTGAAAGGAAGGGATTTTCATCAGTTTATAGGCAAGCAACTTAATTTGGACCTTGAATGCTCAATCCAGGCCTGTTCCTGCTCACACCTCTGAGTGTTCATCTTGTTCTCTTCTTTCTGCATTGCTTTGTGGTTGATGGCTCAGTTTAGATGGAATTCCAGTCAGGATGCTTCCATTTCCTGACAGCTTTACTAACATTTACTAACAGGCTTTTCTGCCTTCCTCCTTCAGAATCTGTTACCAGCCCCACTGGTTCTCCCCAGTGTCCATGAGCTGGACCTGTTCAGGTGAGAGCCACCATTTCAACCCTCTCCCCTCCACCTGAATCCTCTCTTCCTGCTCAGAGTGTCCCAGAAATCACAGGGATGATGCAGAATCAAAAATGGCTCTCAATGAGGAAAGGCTGGGAGAACTGGGATTGTTCACTTGGAGAAGAGAAGGCTCCAGGGAGACCTTGGAGTCCCTTGCAGGGCCTAAAGGGGCTCCAGGAGAGCTGGAGAGGGACTGGGGACAAGGGATGGAGGGACAGGACACAGGGAATGGCTTCCCAGTGCCAGAGGGCAGGGATGGATGGGATATTGGGAAGGAATTCCTGGTTGGGAGGGTGGGGAGGCCCTGGCCCAGGTTTCCCAGAGAAGCTGTGGCTGCCCCTGGATCCCTGGAAGTGTCCAAGGCCAGGTTGGATGGGGCTGGAGCAACCTGGGACAGTGGGAGGTGTCCCTGAACATCAGGAGATGATCCTTAAGGTCTCTTCCCACCCAACCCATCCCATGGCTGTGTGATCAGGCTGCTTGACATTGCTAAAGAATTTCCTCTAAATGTGTATAAAATGATTGAGCGACAGGACGTGCAAAGACACCTGAATTCCATTGTAGAATGCTAAAAATCCATCCTAGATCTCAAATTCCTGGATGGAAGCCCATCTGGGTGGGTTTGTGTGGAACTGCTGTGTCTGGTCTTTCCTGAGCTGCCTTTCTACCCTCCCACCACTCTCAGGTGTTTCCAGCCAGTGCTGATTCACATCCAGATGCTGTGGGAGCTGATGCTGCTGGGAGAGCCCATGGTGGTGATGGCACCGTCCCCAACTGTCTCCTCAGAAATGGTTCTGGCCCTCACCAGGTAATGCCCTCACATTCTGACAGACTGGGAGCTGTAACAACCAATTCTGGCAGCTTTTCTCCCTCAGCTCCAGTCCCTGCTGGTCTATGGGGTTGGGTTGGGTTTGCACAGGGAAGCTTTGTGGGATGAGCAGCACAGTGAGAGTCCTGCTTGTGTCCCCCCAGGGCAGAGAGGAGGGCAGGGGAACCTCCTCAAAGGTGGTCCACAGCTCTGACCTCTGCTTTAGCACAAAAACCCAAAACCCTGGAATTCTCTGTAGTGGTTTGACCAGGCCAAGTGCCGGGTCCTGCCCTTGGGTCACCCCAACCCCAGGAACGCTCCAGGCTGGGGCAGAGGGGCTGGAAAGCTGGAAAAGGCCCTGGGGGTGCTGGTGGCAGCGGCTGGATGTGAGCCTAGCTGTGCCCAGGGGGGCAGGAGGGCAATGGCCCCGGGGCTGTGGCAGCCCCAGCGTGGGCACAGGCCCAGGGCAGGGATTGTCCCTGTGCTGGGAACTGGG